TTCAAAAAATCTATCTCAAAATTAGATTTATTAATAAGCCTGTATTTCTACATATGCGGGCTTGGCCACATGAAAACCAAGTCTTTTTTAAAATTTTAAAGAACTATTCAAGTACTTTCCATTACCATGCTCCCGACACCAAAGGCATTAAATTTTAAAATTTAAAATTGATAGTATTAAAATTTAAAACAATATTTCAAGCATTTTGTTTATTATTGAGTATAGTAATTAATTTATATATTATTAGTTTTTTATTTTTTATTTTTATAAAATTTTCAAAAATATTTGTATTTATTTTAAAATATAAAAAAATAACCGAAGTCTTCTCCCGAATCAACCGAAACACCGAATTGCTTCATTTTTCATACTAAACCAAAACAATCTCTGAAGCAAATATGCCAATATTGGTCGGGATCTATACCATTTCGAAACCAATTTCGGTCCCGAGTGATTCGTCATCCGAATTGACGACCCAGATAAAAAATCGTTGGGTTTTAAAAATACGGCTGCACATATTAATAAGCCCAAATTTATATTATGCCCTCAAGAGAGCATAGTTTATTTCTACTCCTTCGGTAGAAAACCTACTTGGAAGGATTTTTTGGGAACCACTTCAAAGCTACTGGATGATTACTTCAAAAAAAATTGAAATTTAAGCTTTCTAACATTGGGAATTTCTTTTAATGAGGTTATCTATTAGTAAAAGAGGTTACATCTCAAAATTCAAGATCCTAAAATTAAATCCAGATGGGGTTTTATCGAAGGAAGTAAATGGACAAACTATTCCACCATAGTAGAAAGTCCTTTGGCATAATAAGTCTTTAATTGAAATGGTTATTCTTACCACATGTAAAGCGGAAAATAGAGAGAGAAACAAAACTGTAGAGAGAGAAACAAAATACCATTAGGTAACAACTAACATTTGTTTGATATAGCACTTCTATACTAATATCACTACGTTGTAGTTTTCATTCCCATTAACACTATCCTACTAACACCTTCATAAAACTAACTTCTAAATTATTTGAAAAAATGGGGTAAGGGCCTGTCTTCCCCACTTAATTACCCAAAAAAAACATATATATATAGTAATTGTAAGTAGTGACTAATAGGGGTGGCAACGGGTCGGGTCTAGGTTGTGTCTGACTGGATCAGATCCGAACCTGAAAAGTATTTGGGTCCAGGTTTTGGACCCGGACCCAACTTTTTGGGTTGAAAATGTGGATCCAGACCTGACGTCGAGTCTACCCATCGGGTCCTGAGGCTAGTCGAATCCATTGCCACCTTATGATTATGAGCTTCGTTTTGTTTTTTTTTCTTTTTTTCTACTACCATATACTCATATTTTTGGTAATATTTTAAGTATTACACAATATTTATGAATACCCACATTCCTTATTATTTTACGTAATAACTAAAAATTCGTAAGAAACATACATATTAGCAACATTTATGAACATGTTGGTTTAAAAGCTGACATTAAACCCACGTAATCAAGTGAGTTTAAATGCTCTCTTGATAAGTTAATTACATATGAATATCCATATAAAAAGTATTGAGTTTCTATATTAGTTGGACCTAGACCCGGACCCGGACTTGGACCAGAATAGTATTTGAATTCAAGTATTGAACCTTAACCCGATTTTTTGAATCCAAAATTTGGACCCATACCCAAGTTCGAGATCAGGTCTACCAGTCGGGTCCCAGGCCGGTTCGGGTGTATTCCCCCCCCCCCCTCGACCGATCAAGACCGATCAAATTTGAAAGGAAGAAACTACAAAAACACCTTTGGGCAAAAATAAATAGTACTTTCACCCACATATTCGATGCCCTTTGATTTTTTCCGGACAGCGTGGATTAAAGACCCCCATATATATAATATGTCCATAACAAATATTTTTTCACGCAAAATTCCTGCAATAACGCTATGGCTGTCGTAAATCCATGACAGTTTTTAGGCTAAACACTCCAGCAATCTGCGTATGACATTACTTTTCCAATTTAAAAATATTGTTATGGTATGTAGTTACCAAATTTATCTATCTCCCATCAAGTCGCCAGGTACGCCTGGTCCCCTTCTCTTCTTTTCTATTACTTCGTGCCACCTTCAGTACCCTTTTCTCTGTCCCAACCACTCTTTCTCGATCAACTTGGCGATGGTCTGATTCATCAAAGACCCTCAGATATTTTCTCCTTCTTCTCCTTTAAAAGCTTTGGAATTCTCAGACATCTTCTGTTTCTGAATCATGGGGTCTGAAGGATCTAGGGTTGTTGGTGAGCTTAATAAACTAGTCTCTTTCCCTCTATCTTAACCCTATACTGCTCTTCTCTATCATCTGCATTTGTTCAAATTTTTTTTTTCTGTTTTCTTTTCGTTTTGTGTTTTTACTGCGATCGAAGTGTCTTATTTATTTATTTTTATATTGATCCACTTTTATGTGGATGCAGGTTACTGATTATAAAGTGGTTTCCTAAAAAAAAAGTGCCTTATTTAAAAAAATTCTAGGTTAAGATTCTGCTGTTCATTCTACGGGATGTTCTCTCGCTTGTTGTTTCCATTGATGCTAATTGTGCCATGTTGGGTCCAGTTTCTCTCCAATTGTCGCTATAGATGCTTTGAAGAAGTTTCATTATTCTGAATCCCTTTTCACGCTTTGAAGAAGTTTCATTATTCTCAATCCCTGTAAATTGGAACGGGGTGATATATCAGTTGCATGGGTTTGTGAAAATGTTTTGCATTATGTGTATAGGGTTGCAAAAAGCCATGTGAAAGACTGCTATTATGTTCCTCGATAATTCCATGGCATTCTATTGTAAGGCTGTCTTATTTACTTAGTCATGAGAGAAATTTCGTATGATGTGTGTTGTTCGCTGAACTCCAATTGCCTGTGGAAATCTATCACTTCTCCTATTGTCTTGGGGTCTTGTGAGTTCATGGTAATCTTATCTTAGTTCACTTGGTGTTCAGCTACAATAGAGGTTTCTATGGGGCCCAGAATATTCGAAGCTTATTTTTGAGTTTTATGGTAGGAAAAATATGGGCTTCTCTGGTTTCGGTAAATCTTAAGAGACAAGAATGCATGTGTTGTTATACCTTAAACTAGAGAGTGCAGATTATCTTTAACAGATGTAAAGATTTCTTACATTGATAGGGCACTGTGTATGCCCTCATGGAAGTAGTGTTGATAGCCCTCGCATATTATATGTCTATTGTCACCGTTGTTCATTTCAAGTGATTCTGTAAACAGAATAGCTAGATCTTTGAGAGGCCTCTCCTTATGCCCTAGAATGATCCAGCTCAGGTGCATGTTTCCTCCTGGCCTCTGTTCTTTTTGATCACTTTATTAGAGACTTTTGGAGCAATTCTGCCATCTTACCCTTATTCAAAGCCCAATTGCTTTTTCTTTCTAGTATACCTTTTCCCTTTTTTCAAAGCCTAACTACTTTCTCTTTTTAGTTTAGATCACCAGTCTCTTCATGGAAGTAAACTTTCCTCTCCTGTAACTTCCTGAAAATCATTGTCCTAGTTCTTTAGATTTTACATCATCCTTTCTTTGTGAGTTTAGACAACAGCCATTGCTGGACCTTGAAATTTCCACAACTTCCTACTATTATTTTTAAGCTTCAAATGCTTGAACCACATTGCTTGGACACTTCTGTACCTGCACAAACACCTAGGAAGAGATCCTGGTGATCACAGTGATCTGAGATGGGTTTGGGCTGTGTTAAGGAAGCCCTTTCTTTGCATTAAAGCACAATGCGGCTAAGGGCTTCAGAGTGGTCAATGGGGGTGTGTTGGCAAGTGTTTGCCAGCCCAAAAAAGAATGGTGGCAGTTCAAAGTGCTGCTCCATTGCCTGCTAATAAAATAGAGATGGAAAGGGCCTTTGGACTCATTTCATCTTCATTGTATTTTCTACAATAGAGAGCCATGCCCATTGCTTTAGGTTTCCTAATGTGGCGTGCTGGCAAATGAAGCCGTACATAGTGTCCTTGAAATTTGAAAGACTGCCTGGAAATTTATCACCCCGTTTCAAATAGGTTATGAAGTAATTAATGCTTGTCATGGTTGGCTTCTCCTGATTTTTTGTTTCGGTAAGACAAGACCTGCCTAATGGAAGATGATCCATTCGATTATATATTATCATTAAATTTCTAGATTCTAGAATGTACAATGTGTAGGATTTTTCATCTTGGGATTTATGTAGGGTATATTCTTCTTGGCTTGGCATTGGCGGATTCTCTTCATTAATATCTTCGATTTCTGTTTAATTGTATTGTTATGCCTCCATTTGCACTTTATTCGCTAAGATGCATCTCTTTCCTTTATAATGTGGAATTACAGGGACGTCAGGTTATTTTTTCAGCTTCTCACATGAGGGGATGAACATGCCATAAGGATCGCCTTTTTGTAGTTGATATGTATTGTAGACTTTTTTATGTTTTGTCAAATACGATTTTAAAAGTAACAGATTTTTGAGGATTTCTGAACACATCTCAACTTGTTCACATATTATGGGGTTAAGGCAGAATATTGTTTCATTTATAGTTAGTCTTATATGGCCTATCAGTGAGTTCTGCAAGTGCATCATCAACGCAAGGCTACTGCATTCATCAGTTATATCACCCTGTGTGTGTCTCCCCTAGATGTGCATGCGTGTATGCGATTTAAGAAAATTGTAAAAGAAAACTACTGAAAATCAGTAAAATATCTCTTCAAAGAAAAATTATTGAAAATCCAAAAAACAAAACATTTGCACAAGAAAATTTAAAAAATAATTTGTGTTTATGTAATAATTTTTCCCAAAATAATACATTTTATGACCTGTTAATTGAAAACTTCTGCAAGAAAGCTAAAAGTTCGTGTGGTCAAAACCCATAAATGACATTTACTTTTACAATATAAACTACATGATAATTAGTTGACATGTCTGACAGAAGTGTCAGTGTGTCAATGCCTATCAGTGTCTCTGTAATATTGCTTTGCACTTTGCAGGAATATGAATGATTCTGGGCTTGACCTTAATTGAGGTTCTAGTGGCTAAACAGTGAGAGTTTCAATACCTTACTTCTCAGGGATACAGGTTTCAATTGGGAAATTAGCAGCTCATGAAAAATGGGAGAACATTTTGTTGGTCTATGGAGAGGGGTTCTATTATTCTCATCTGCATATGTAACTCCTTGTTTCTTCATAAGCTATCAAGTCTGAGAGTAGGAAAAATGTGTTGCTTTTGTAGTTGGGATTGTCTACAAAAAGACCATTTACCTTTTGTACCAGGAGGTCACAATTATTCTTGTCTCTTAGATTTGAAAATGGGTGGTTGTAAAAGTATCATGATAAGACACAAAGTTCCAAAAAAAAATTCTCAGACTTCGTGACTTATTCTAAGCCATCCAATTTGACATCTAATGAGTAGGAATAGTTGTGAGCTCCTTGTACAAATGGTAAATTGTCTCTTTGTAGGCAATCCCGTTGTAGTTTGATACTTGGATCTCAAACGTAGGATACTTTCAATTTTTCTTTCAATGATTCACCAATGTTTTCACTTCAATTATATGACAAAATAACACTGTCCCTTACTTAGAGGGCGACACTTTATGGAATGGTCCTTTGTGCAGTGCAGGTTTAGTTGAAAGTCCTGTGATGGTCGGTACAATATTATTACCACATCATTCATTTTAACCAGCAGACTTCTGGCATATATCTACTCATTTAGTTCCCCTACCCTTCACAGGAATTATTGGATGTGTCATTGTGTATCCAACATTAGGGCATATCGCTCGCAAATTCAGCCCTTCATGGCCAGGCTAAGGAGTGGTCCTAGGTGCTGCCTGAGGGCTGGACGCTGGCTTGGCATTTCATGGCCCAGTACGGCCCTACCAGAAACAATTGAAAGGGCGGGGCCCAGCCTGACCCTGCCAAATTGCCAGGCCAGGGTTGGGGCTTTAAGCCTGGCTGGTCCCTGGGCCTGGCCAAGGCCCAGGCCCTTGGCCAGGCCCAGCCCATTCTCATACCTAATTAGGAATGACTCATGGTTGTTGTATGTTGACAATGATTGATGGATCTTGTTGTGTCCTTGTCTAGTTAAATTTCTCTCTTATGCAAATACCAGCTGTACTTCTTGGCTCTCTTTGATGTTTGTAAGTGTTCTTAGGAATTCGTTTGGTTTCTCATGACATCCACTACCCTGAGCAATTTCATTGTGTCCTTCAGTGACTTTCAGAAACCTTTGTTGCCCCTTGACGGTTGTAGCGCATGCCCCAAGTCTTCATTGTTGTTTTCTATTGTCTTGTTTTCCTTTTATGGGTTTTATGATGCTTTGGAATGGCATTTTCTTATTTTTATTTTCTTTCAAAGAAATTGTACTGTGTATGAAGTTTGATCAATGCTTTTGTTTTTAGAGTCGTAACTGCTTTTGAATTTTTCTGGGCAGAATCTTTGCCAATGTTGGAAACAAGGACTCTAGCTTGGACCTGGCAGGGTCCTGAGTCAAAGTCGGTGGTCCAACTTGGCCAAACAGCTGAGTCAGCAGTCCAACTTGGGCGGAGTCTCTGTAAGAAAAATATACAGTAGTGGTTTTGGCCGTGACCTGGCACCCTTCCGGGTCAGAGTGACTCTGGCATGTCCAGAACCAAGATGTCAATCACTGATCTTCACCCATGAGCTAGTTCTCCCTAAAATATTCAGATTTCAATCAGATTTTCGTAGTTTTCTTACCATTGTCAGAAACAAATGCTACGCGGTGTTTATTTTTTAAATGTTTTTAAAATGTTTTATAATATTCTAGCATGGTTTTTGAGTTTTCTTTTTTGATTAGTTGATTCACTTTTCTATGACGTAGCTGTCTTTCGTTTCTTATGGTAATCATCAGTGTCATGCTAGGGCTAGCTGTCCTCCATTGGTTATGCATTATCTTGGTATTGAGACCTCCTATCTCAATCAAATTCACCAGATTGAAATGTTGAATGGTGCTATGTTCAACTTTGCAACATTCAAGATTTTCTAGTTCCTAGTTTTAGGAATTAACCACCTTTAGTAATGTAAACTACATCCTCTTGGAAAACATTCTTAATGTGTCCATTCTTTGATTATGTTCACATATTTTTTTTTATGGTTACCCACACTAATCTTTGTTGTACTTATTAGTTATACAATGGAAAAATCTGAAGCCTTCCCCCAAATCAGTTAGAGCACAAAAGTGCTTCTCTTTCGAGATTTTGAAGCAGTGTACTTGTGTTAGTTTGGGATGTGAATCGGTATAGATTCTAAGTGAATGTATGGTTAGGGGATTCCCTTTTATTACTTTTCAAGTATCGGTGGCATGGGACTCTGAGTGAAAGGTGTAATTAATGCTTCTTTGGATGTCTGCAGGGCATTCGCTTAATGCATCCTTCAGGAAGGAACTTTAAAAAGGATAAGTTGAGCGCACTTGTGATACTATTGGGCATTGTCTGAAAGATTATGTTAGAAAGGGAAGGGAGACTCAATGCAGTTCTGTGGAAATTGGAGGGTTTCATCATTTATCTGTTTAGATTCATGATTTGTGACATATTGGGGTGACAGGTTTGAGGATAACTTAAAAAATTTGATTTGGTGGAAAGAGGCTACTTCTATGATCACTATGTTCTTATGACTAGCATATGAGAAGTTGAGAAGAAAAATCTTATAATCGATATTGAACACCATGTTCTGATGATGGTTAATGTTTTGTGTTTAGGGAAGAGGAAGTGATTGTGGATCATATGTTTTTTAAGTATGAATAGAAGTGGGTAAATGAACTTCTATCTAAAGAGTGTTCAATCTTGATTAGGATATGCCTGTTTCATTTCTTTGTTTGTAGCTGGATGACCGGCAACATGATCGAACCAAAGAGGCACAATGCTATGGTATTTTGGGTTTTTTTGCAAGCATATGATGGTTATGGAAGGAGAGAAATTTGAATTTTCAGAGGAAGGTCCATGTGAATGAGTCCTCGTTAGACAGTATCAAGGAACACCCAATTTCACTTGCTTCTAATATATTGGACTGGATTGGAAGCGAGATAACTAGCACTCTGATTATCACAGTGTAGTGGAATGGGAACAGTAGTCCAGATCCCAATGAAGGAATTGAGATATTTGTTGTATTAGACATGTATGGTGGATGTGATATCTCTGATTCTCTAGTTATGTTTCAAGGTGAAGATTTTATTTAGTATGGGCTCCATTGTCTACATGATCGATGAGTTGATGGATTTGTTAAAGAAACTTAGGGCCTGTTCAGTTTGGGGGTTTAGTTAAGAGTAACGAGTGATTTGTTAAGGACTGCAACTGCGTTTGTTTTCTTTGTATGAACGCTATTTCCAATATAAAAAGGAATAATTTGGTCAAATTAGATGGCTGATATGCTCTGTCAACCTTTCCCACTAAGGTCTCCCTTTAAGTTAAAAAACATGACAGATACATTGCTAGATCACTGGAGCCCCTATCTCTATACTTTTATCATGGGTTGTTGGGCAAAATAGTGATTGAAATATCTTTTGGGATGATATCTCATGCATATGTTCAGTCCAACAATGCCTGACATTATCACATTGGTTTGGGACATCCCTGAGAACAAGGAGATATGAATATTTTTGTCACTGGTGTTGTTTGGAATGAGAAGTCTTCTATTGTCAATCCATTTCTGGATCAGTAAAGGTACAATTCTTTGGTGTTTTGGTTGTCATGTAACTTCAACTATACTTTGGGAAGATTATGGCGTCATCCATTTTATGCTGTTACTTCCAATGATTCATATTTTGATATTTGCAATCATTGATAAGGATCTGATGTTTTAATAGGATTTTACATGCCAAGTATGGTTTTTGCATTGAGCAACTGGAAACAAGGATTTGAAATAGAGGATTTGAGCTTGTAGGGGGTCAAGCAGAAAGGAGAATCCGAGTTGTGTCTTGGCAGACTTGGGGAAGGAATTTTTATTGGAGAACTGGATTACTAGAAGTTATAAAGCAATGGTTACAAGGCTTGGACTCAATGTCGAATATTCTTCTACATTTCCAGAAAAAAAAAAAGGTTATGACTTATGAGAGGGTTGGACCCACTTAACTACTTATCCAGATGCTTCTCTTATTACATTCATTCCTCAACTGTGGCTGCCACACTGCTTACATATGATACCATGCAAGAGCTTTTCATATAAGGGAAGCACTTCTTCAGGCTTCGGATTCCATTAGCTTCCATCACTTCCTCTGATTCTAAATTGGGCAACTCTATTGTATTTTCTTAATGGTCAGATCTATAGTCTATTTGGCAATTATCAGGGGTGTTCAGCATACTCTTACCATTTCCAGGGTGGTACATGGCTTGCCATGTGTGGTGCTTGGTGATGGTCAGCTGTTGTCTATCTTTCAGCCATCCATCATGTGATCGCTTGTTTCTTTTTTTAACCTTCAAAAGAGAACCCCAAAAAACTGAATTTGTTGTCAACTTAGGGAATCTGTTGGCAAAGTTCCTTTACAAAACTGGAAATGTTGATTTTAGAAGCTGCATATTTGCCAGAAAATCCTCTTTTTCCTCAAAAATATTTGATATATAAAGAAGAAACAAAAAAAACTCTCAAGTGCCCTGCATTGTGGGTTTTTACTGCTTCCTGTTTTAGTTCATTGTTCTAAATGGGCTTTTGGGATCAGTATTCATTTCCTTCATGGAATAGGATCATGCATATGTATCATATATTTAGTTAAATCATCCTTCCATCCATCAATTGCTTGAAGGGGTTCTCTAGCCCATGTAATTATGCTATTGAATGAATTGGTTTATCTTTTCTGTACAGATTTGAACTGGTCTAGGCTACATCACATACTAGTTTGGAAAGGAGCATTTAAAGTTTATACCCTGTTAGGTTTCTATTGAACAGACCATTAAGATTCTTTGAGCAGTGGACCTGGTCTAAAACCCTAGTCCATTGTCTTGAAAATGGCCATTCTATGTGACATGCTCTTGGGTCATTGGCTTCTTCATTTAAGGCACCAAAGCTGCCTGGAGCATTATGTCATTAATCAACAGTATCAGTCATTGCACTGGCCAAGTGGAGACTCTCAAATCTGGCTGATAGCCAAGTATTTGGATTCCTGTATATGTGATTCCATGATCCAAGTGAGAGCCTTCTGATGGCTTTTAACCTCCAGCTGCTGTATCTTTTCACTTTCAATGGCCGCTCACTTGTTGGAGACCATGACCTCATGGCTGCTATTTTCCTTACTCCTGAAAAATCAAAATATAATCTGTCAAAAAATCATTTTTGGTACTTAAATAGTTATTTTCTTTGTCATGTCTCTTCCCCACCAGCTTGAACCTCAGATATACTTAATGCCATCAAGATAGCTCTTAGAACATCACAAGCCTACCAAAGAACTCATTTGGACATGGGTTTTGGTGGAAACAAAATGGGATATCCTATGCTGCTTCATTGGATCAATGAGTGACTGCATCCCATACCATTGCTCTTCCTAAGAGCTATTTTCTGTTCTTTGCTTTTTTTTGATGAGCATCTTCTACCTTTATTCGCATGAAGAGTTCAAAATCCAACTGTCTGATAGGCCCCAATATATCGTCCTTAGTGTACGTTAATCCAATAAAACTAGACCATAACTGGTCTAGCTTGGCAAGAAAGAAAGGAGAGGTCAAAGGAGGATCAGAATGAATCTGCCCAAATCTTTGTTTACAGAAACAGCTTGGAAGATCAAATACACCAACACCCCACCAATAGCCAAGTTCGAGACACCCGAGTACACCTCAAATGGGACCGCATAGTCGGGGAGCCACAACACTGGCTCAAAGGTTATGGCCATCGAGATACATTGATAAGAAACAATCCCAATTGTCAGGATCCGTTCGAATTGAAAGTTTTGATTCACCTGCTATTCATTATAGAATAAAGGTACTAACAAAGATAAGAGTGGACAGCCTGTAGGAGACTACTGAGTGCATGTCATTGGAACTATTGTCTCTTGTATATTTCCTCCACGTCAATACACTGGGTGGCGTGGCAAAAAACTAGACCAACTCTGACTGCACTCAAGATCCATTGCTCTCAACTTCAAATTTCGAAGGTTTCCTTTATTTAAAGCTACACACCTTGAGTCATGGACTGTTTTTACTTAGTTTTCAGCCCTTGCCTATTCGCTCTCCAAATCGCTTCTCCATGACTGATATCATGTTTTCCAATGTTTCCTTTATTTAAAGCTATACACCTTTGAGTCATGGACTGTTTTTACTTAGTTTTCAGCCCTTGCCTATTCACTCTCTCCAAATCCCTTCTCCATGACTGATATCATGTTTTCCAATGCTTCGATGACAATTACAAGTGAGACATTTTTGACACTTAGAACCCACCTTGTAATGACCCTAGTTTCAGATTTGAGTAAACATTCTTGAGATTGGATATGCTGAAATATAGTCATGTTTGGGATGCATTCATTTTTACGCAGAAGTAATAATCCCCATGCTCATATTTGACCAATTTAGTCTTTGATGTGCAGTTCCCAGGAACTTCAGATTACTTGAAGAACTCGAGAGGGGGGAGAAGGGCATTGGTGATGGCACAGTCAGCTATGGCATGGATGATGCGGATGACATATACATGCGGTCATGGACAGGAACCATCATTGGACCCCACAATGTATGTTGAATGTGTTGATTGCTTGGCATTATTAATTAACAATACAAAATGGAAAAAAATGCAATAATATTGTGGTGTGCTGTGACCCTTCAGACTGTCCATGATGGACGTATCTATCAATTGAAGCTTTTTTGTGACAAAGATTATCCTGATAACCCACCCACTGTGAGATTCCAGGCAAGGATAAACATGACCTGTGTGAACCAGGAAACTGGTTTGGTGAGTCTATACAATATCTGCACATCTTCTCGAGGATTGAATGGATAGTTAATTCGATCTCTCTTTATTTTTAGTTCTTTTGCTATAAATCACCTTGATTCATTTGAAGGGGTGATTAAAATTACGGAAACATGTTAACCCATTTTAGAAGGTAATTATCTTGTGCATATGTTTTGAAGTTTTTGACCTGATATAGACCTGATGTGATATGATTAGGTTGATCCCAACCAATTCTCAATGCTTGGAAACTGGCGAAGGGAGTACACCATGGAAGACATTCTGACCCAACTCAAGAAAGAAATGGCCTCTGCTCAGAACCGTAAACTGCCTCAGCCTCCTGAAGGTTTGTACATTCCATTCCTTTTGGTTTTAGATTCTATTTTGTTTTCTAAGAGTAAGTATACCAATATCCTGTGGAGCACTGGGTATGGTACACTGAAGGGACATCCATCATTTGTTAGTTTCCGCCATTGATCATCAGCAACATATGGTAGATGCCCCTTTTGATCACCATACACTTTCGATCATAGCTGTACTTCCTGTTCTCAATTTTCATTCGTTACGATACTTTATGTTTGAGATTAAACTCGGAGTGAGAGTTTGCAGGTAATGATGACGCAAGGATAGATCAGAAAGGTTTGGTGCTAAGGTGTTCCATTCTGTGAATGGATGGAAATTGGGTTGGAATCCATATGTAGATACAAGTTTAGTTGTTTTTGGTTAAGTTGCATGACCTTGAGGGAGGATACGCCCCACCACGCCAGAAGCAAAAGCTGCTTAGGACCTGTTAAAATTGAGGGGTCTATGCCAACAAACATTTCCAGGCCGTGGTCGTGGGCAATGGTCTGTAACCTCTGTGTAGAGAGAACACCTCTTGAATTAGTAATGTGCTGGACACGAACTATGCGTATCTTTGCTGTGCATTCTCATAGAAGAAAATGAAACAATAAGTTTTTATCTGAAAAATGGAGAGGGGAACAAGCAGTTGCATGTGCATGGAGGGTTTTAAGTGAAAAATGTGTAGATCTCTGTGGATTGTGGCTGTGTTCATCATCTCTCTCTCTATCTCTCTCTCATCCCCTTTACTCTCTCTAGGCCTTGGTTTCCTTCTTAAGAATCCTCTTTAAGACTTTTAAAACTAAACTGGTGTGGTTTGTATAGGCCGAGGCTCTAAACAATCAAAGTAAAGCTCACCTTTAAATAGTGCTCAATAGTTTTTTGTTCAGAAGGGAAATTATGAAATAACTTTTGACAGATGCGATGTTCTATGGTTCCCTCATTTTATTTTGTCTTAATTTCAAAATTTCCTCAAAGGACAGTACCATGTGAATAATGAGTCCAAAATTGTTGAAGTTTTTACTTTGTTCTTAAAAATAAAAGTTCATCTAGGAACACTTTGTATATTGATATTTTTGGACATCAATTTCACTCACCTCATGAAATATAAGTATTTTGCAACGGAAAAGTTCAAATAAGGTTACAACCGTACATTTTTTAACAAGAAGGTTAAAACCGTACTTGTACAAGTAAGGTAGTAATTTATAATATCTAGTTTGTAGATTTCACACCTCAAATGAAGCATAACTTTTTGACACTACCATAGAAAACGTTTCAAATCTAAACCGTCATGGAACATTACAACCTTCTACAAATAAGGTTGCAATCTTATGTAATCCGCTCCTTTTTGTAACACCAATATCTAGCTAAGTCAATTGCATTGACATTGGAATTTTGAATATCACCAAGTCACCTTATTGGAGAAATTTTTAATATAATATTTCATCGGTGTTAATATTGGTGTTTTCAAATAACAATATCTCACTCTAAACAACTTATGTGATATTTGGTAATTCTTTAACATAAATATCATGAGGTCGCCCCATGAGATCTTTGGATTTAGAAATACCAATATATACTAAATATCCTTTCACTATGGGTACTTAGTAGCGATTCAACATGGATGCAATGAATGAGCAAGCATTCCAAGTCTCCCAACATGGTGGTTTCATAGGGAACTTACAAAGCAAGTACCTAAATAAGCCTAGGAGAATTTCTCTCTCCACTCTAACTCGACTCATTTGGCAAGAAAGAAACTGAAGGGCAGAAGAACATAATCAATCCTTTTCAATGGGTACCAAGGAAGGTAACATATCCCAAAGACAATGTAGTCCCACTAGAAAAAGATAGGTGATAGAATATCCCAAGTTAGGGGTGTTTGATAACAGGAAGTGTCCTTTTGAAAGTTTAGAACTTCTTAATAATGTTTAAGTTTCGTGTTTGATAAAAAAGTTGAACTTCAAACTAAACTTCAAAGAATTGTTCAAGTTTCAATCTTGCTTTAAAAAAAAAGTTCCAACCCAAGGGTTCGAACTTAAACTTGGAACTTTAACCTT